TAGGACCTGGGAATTCATAGGTAAGTCCTAGAAGGTTGTTGTCCCCAAGGGAACTTACTACACTCTTCAGAGAATATGGAGTTTTCTTCTTTTTCTCATTCACTTTAGTAATCATTTTCCACCCCCTTTATAAATTAGTGAGATTGTGTGTTAGTGCCTTTTTGAATCAACTCAGGTGGCCACGCTTTGCTTTAAAAGGGGAAGAAGGGGAATGAAAGTAATTATGTTTCAGTGAATATATATATTGGTTTTAAGTTTGCATTTTAATTACAGAGTTGTTTTCGGAACATTTTAATGGTGTGACTATATATTTATATGGTTACAGTGACAACTTCTAAGTGAAATTAAGGGCTCTAGTACTTGCTGTAAATCAGGCTTTGATGTAAGTAGGTTCACCTTGGATTCCATTGTTGGTTGTTCACTGAGAATGTGACAAAGGACTCGTGACGGATATACTGTGGAATATTCTTTTGAAACAGAACCAAAGGACAACTTTATAAGAACTTTCAGAGCAGTTATTTCTTAAAAGCTATTTTTGATTTAAACTATCAAGATAATGATACCGATATGCTATACTTGTATAATTTTTGTGCTTCTTGAGGAATTAGGAATTTTCTTATTTTCTTTTCCTTTTGCAAGCTGGTAAAAATTTGTCCTTATTGACTAGGAAGCCTTTGCTATTTAATACCACATATACCACAAATATGTGCATTTTGTAAAGTGACATGAGTTTAAATAAATAAAATTACGTTGAAGAGTTTGTGGTTTTGATAATGTATGACTAACAACTGTGAATGTTAATGTGTACAGGATACTGTGCTCTAGTAGTATGGTTGAAAAGTAGCACTGCCTCGTATTACTTTGTTAAACCTATGAATTTTCTATGGTACAATCATCATGTTCTTTTCAGAGTAATGAATAGAAGCATATTTTTTTTTCCTGAGGTAAAGAAAAGCCATATATTACATGATACTCTGGTCAATAAATTCATGTTTTGAATCAAGTCTGTATTTCATATATGATTTCTAAAAGTTATTCTTTCCATGTGAGGATGGAGTTTAGCATTTTTCTCCTCAGATTGATGAGTTGATATGCTTATCATGAATACTTGCTAATAAAACTTGTTTAATATCTAAACGTACATTGGAGTTTACTCTTAACCATCACTGACACCACCAGCACTACTCGTACTACCAACACCACCACTGTTTATTCTGTGCCTGGCATTGTGTTAAGTGCTTTATGTATGATCTCTTTTAATTCTCTTAACTCCCAAGAGGTAGGTACCATTATTAGCACCATTTTACAGATGAGGAAACTGGGACATAGAGGTGTTTAATACATTCCCCGAGATCTTACAGCTTGTGTGTTCAAACCAGGATTTGTCCCCAGTTATATTACAGAGCCGGTGCTCATAACTACAGTAGTGCAAGTGCCTCTCCAGGGAAGGCCACTGAACTTACAACTAACTTTTCAACAATTAAGCAATTAGTTCATTAATTAGGATATTCATGTAACAGAACAACAAAAATTTTGACCGGGGAAAATGGAATTCTAGTCGTTGAGCCCCTTTCTTGTGATTTCATTCTATTTCTGTTCAAATAACATTATGAACTTCTCTGCTTTTGTTTTTGGTGCATGGTTGCATATGCATCACATACTGATGAGACATCTTGTGAGCTGACTTAATAATCCATCCTACTGCTATTCTACTCTGGGATTCAGATGGTGCTCTGTGACTCCTGATGTTCTTCATATTGCATATTTACATAATGGCCGATAGAGACTTCATGGCGTGAATATCAACCTGGAGTCTGAATTAGTTGATGCATAAGGAACACCTTACAGAGTAGAGTGCCTTTGTTGTGCCTGTGTGTTTTAAAAGCTGTGTGAGAGCCAGCAGGCTGCCATGGAGTTTGGGGATTGGCACTTGCTATCCATTCATATCCAGCACCATTTCTTTTCATGAGAAAACATGGCCTGTTGGTTGCAGTCCCTGTATTTCCTTTGGACTGTGGCATTTTGTGTCTCGGGTACTTCTGTGTTAATCCTGTGGGTGTTGCCATTCCTTTTACCTGCAGCCTCTCGACGTCATTCCAGGTCCACTAGTGCTCTCTCCACTGCTGAATCTGTTGGGCAGTCAGGTGAACAAGTGCTAACTGCATGACTTGGCTTCTTCATATGTTCTAGTTTCACACTCATTTTAACATTCGTTTTCATCAGTGTCAGCTAGCACTTGGCATGTATGCACCTCATATTTTTTTTTCCCGAATGTGCTTTTATTTTTTTAAGTTGTTGAATGTTTATGGTTCTGTTAATAGGCTGTACGTAGATGCTTTATAGCCTGTATGACAATATCATTTCTCCAGTGTTCACATTTATGTTAAAACAAAACAAAACAAAAAAATAGGGAAGCACTTCTCACCCTCTTTTACTCCCTCCCCCGGGAAAACAACAACCCAAAAAAAAGTATCAGGAAGGGTTCCTGTGGGGAATTGGGGTATGGATATTATCCAACAGAGTCATCTCTAAAGTCTTTGCTCCCAATGAGGCGTTGATTATTAATGTTAGTTATCAGTGTCAGGTTTCAATTATTTGAAGGTACTACTTAGTTACCAAATTAAATCATACATAATTTCATTTGTATAAAAATTAAATGAATTGTCCTAAAATTTTTATGGAAAAACAATTTTATGATTCAGGTAATCAAGTCAGGCCATTAGTAGCTTTTGCAGCCTTTGGACCACAAGCATTCTGTCTCAGCATCGTTTTAACAATACCCAAATTTCACTGGTTAGCCATTGGGGCAAAAAGTAAGCATTTTGATATGCTAACAGTCCCGAATGAGTACAGTTGTCTCAATTGAGTAATGTACAGTCTGTTAAATCACAGGTGACAACTGTGACCAATTCACCAAGTTAGATATTTTTTCTGTTCTTCCTTTAAACGAAGCCAGCTATGCATTTTATTATACATGCTCTGATGAGTACATTTCCCTGAAGATCTGGGCCAGACTTGAAGGCACAGATAGATCTCTCTCTTGGAAAATAGAACTACATAATAGTATCAGAACAGTGAGAATGTAGAACAAGTTTTAGTCTGTTGAAAACAAAAGGCTTATAATTTTGCTTAGATCCAGACAAACATCTCCCCTTAAGATTTGACTTTCAAATTATCTGTGATATATGGAATGACCTTTAGTTACTGTGTATGAAAAAACTATATGCATCTGGGAAGTGCAGAATGATTGCATTGTTCTTACAGTTTTAATTTTGTGTTTGAAAAACTCAGTATTATCCCTGGAACAAGAATTGCTGGCATGAGATCTAATTTTTTTTTTTTAATTTTTTTTTTAGACTCCGTTTTATTTTAGTTTATGCTGGGTAATTTTTAAATGGCTTATAGCTGAATTATTTTCATTCTGTTACTCATAAATCTCTTACTATCTACCCTTTTTTAATGGAAAAAAATATGAACAAAGATCATTTATAAAACTATGTGCACAGTAAAACTCAAATTTACACTTGTTTCATATTTCAAATGGTAACCTATATCTACATAGATATATATAGTGGTCTCTTTTTAGTTTATATGGCACATTAAATTGCCTTTTAAACAATGGCTAAGGTGACATTCAGTATGAACAGCAAGTGCATTAAAAAAGGGGATGGTATAACATACAATTTTTGTTTTTTTATAAAAAGTCATGACTGTATAACTTTTTTGATTAGCAGTGTTTAAATTTTTTTCCCTTTCCGTGGTGATGGAAGATTTAAGGTTTTAAAATTGACATTTAAAAACAGCCAAATAGCACTTCACTTTTAAAGTTCACCAGTTTCATATGGGATGCCTTGTTATATATCAAAAATTTTACATATTTTATAGGAAAGATCAATTCATGTAACACATGTATTAGCATTCCTTTTATTCTAAATGCTTCATTACTAGAATGAGGCTAATACAGAGATTTTCCTTGTCCAGTGTCTTATTTATAAATAAAGAGAAAGCATTTTTTTATCTTGACATTTTTTAAGGTTTTTTTTTATACCTTAGCATTTTAAATAAGAAACTTTTACCAGTACACAGTGTAAAACACTTTTTAAGTATAATTTACACCAGCTTTCTTCTACTATAGTTTAAATCTCAGCACTTCTTAAGAGAGGCTGGTCAGCTGGTCAACTGACTTAAAAGGACTTTAAAAAGTTAGTTTTTATTGTCTATAATCATTCAAAAGCTTAGAATAGTGGTTTGAACTGTTAAAGTTTGTTTTGAATTCTTTGGAATCTATCCATTTTGTGTACATTTATAAACACTATCATTTAAAAATCCTTTGAGGGACTCACGAAAAATGTATACAGTGTTATCTGAATTGTTAATGTTTTGCCTCAAAGATACTCTTTGTAGTGATTGTTAAAGAATTTTAATAATTTTAAAATAACTTTTGGTGACACGTGCATCATGATGAATAAGTACCTAAAATTAATTGACCATAATTAATAATAGTTAAACAATGACACCAATGAAAATTTGCAGAGATCAATTTAGTACATTTGTTTCAAATTTTAACTTTTTATTGCACATTGCGTTAGAACTCATTTGTCAAACCTTGAAGCTTTCTAATTAGTTTGACCAAATCTGAGGGCCACTTGCCTCTAGAGGGAATGCTAAATAGATTAAAATACTCATCTCAGAGTCCAGCTCCCTTCTGTAATAAGTTCCCCTCTCTCCCATGTCTCAGCACTTTTCAAAAATAAACATCATTAAAGAACCATTTCAATTGCCAGGATGCTTTGTGGCCTGATAGTATTAAATGTGAACAGTGTAACCTCTGACACTGGTAAACAAGTGTAGTTAAAACTAAAAGGCAAGTGTAGTTAAAATTGTCTAGAGAATTTTCAGTGCCTCTTTTCTGTAAGTTGGAAGAGGCAGGAATCCTTGCAAAGAGTTGGGAAAATGTGAATCAAAGTGACATATTTTCTTGGCTTTTGTTTTTTAAATAGACCGTTTTGGGCTTGGCCAGGCAGGAAGAATCCCTGGTTCTGTGAACACCATGCGAGTTTTGAGCACAAGCACAGATCTTGAAGCTGCTGTTGCTGATGCTTTGGTAAGAGTCCCCGTGTGGTGTAATCTCTTTGAATAACTCATCTGGATTATATTCTGTTTTAATAGAAAATTGCCTCCAAATTGGGTTACTAATCATCTTTGAGACTCTTTAAAGTTGTATAAATATTGAGTAAATTTATATTATTATTTTTTTTTTCTTAAATTTTTGTCTCTGTACGTAAGTGAAAATTAGCCTCACAAAAAATATTAGCATCAAGTATTTCTTCTGTGCTCTTCAGTATCAAGGAAGTTTTGATGACATTGGTTTTCTCTGATGTCATTGGGTGTCTTTCTTTTTTTCCAGCATCTCCTTTTTCTCATTCTATTGCTTCTATTGCTTTATGAGCTTTGATGGCATAACCTAAACATATCATTATAATAGCAGGTAATAGAATTTGTAGTTTGAAAATCTTGCATTTATTCCATTACCTCATTAGTCGTTCCATATGATTTTTTTTAAGTGAGTTCTTAAGTCGTTATTTAAGGAAACTTCCCAAATTTTAACATGGATTCTTTGAGGATATGAAGTACTGGTGGAGTATGTTTTTGCATCATTACAATGTAATATCCAAAAATATATATATAGTGAATAGACATCCTTGGATTTATGGTTATAACAAAAAATTTCTCAGTAGAATCTGCTTGTGGTCAGATTGCTTTTTAAAGATACAGCTAGTAGTAACAGTCTCTTGCATATTCTAATTCATGTGCCTAGCATTTAAAATAGGTATTCTTTAGAACTGTCCAATCTCTGGCTTCGCTTGTGCTGTTTGAAGATTTATTCTCTTCTAAGGAAACAAGTATTATAATATCCTGCTTTCAGACCTTGAAGTTTTAAATTCAGTCGTGTTTTGTCTGATCAAAATTTTATAGTCTGTGGCTATAGTGATTCTGACTTTCATCTTTTCCTGTCTCTCCCTCATTTATTCTTGCTCAGTCAGATTTCTTTAACAAGCGGCTATGAGCAAGTTGTTTGCCACTCTCATAATGCTTTCCCTGTAAGTGAAGGCTGCCTGGCCAGCTCTTTTTGTCGCCCTTTCATGTAGGAGGGCTTTTTTTCTGCCAGGTACTGGACTTGAGGATAATTGCTCTAACCATGGCTTTAACTTAAGAGTCATGAGCTGGAACAAAATTCTGGGAAGCTGTTTTTCCTTCCAAGTTGCAACATTTAGAATTTGTCTCTTATTTATTTAGAGACCCTAGGAAGTGGATGTCAAGGGATGGGAAATAATGGATGTGCAAAATCCTTAGTTAAATGAGACTTCCAGTTAAGGCGCGGGGGAGGGGAGGTGGTGGAGTTCCTCTATTCTTTCAAGAACTTCATGAGGGACTGTGCGCAAAGTTCTAGGAGGGAGAATACCACTTGAGATTCTGAGCTTTGGCTTTACTGGACTTGGGCTTTTCTCTGAGCTCTAGCTCCCATTCATGCTGCCCTTATTACTTTTATCCAAACTGCTTGGTTTCTCCAATTGACCTGCTTCAGAAGAGAAAACGCAGGAATGGTACACAATCCTTGCCTCACAGAATAGAATCCTCAGCGGCAGACAGAATGTATCATAGTGATAGGCAACAGAATTAATAGTGACTTTAGAGCTGTCCCTCAGTGGTATGGGGAGAATTTTAGCAAAGAATTATAGCAAGTACTGGAAAGTTTTATAAGAGCCATAGGAGCGTTAGGAAATGCCATTGAGAAAGCATTCTTTATTATTGTTCGCTTGATATGAATTGCTTGCTAACCTATGTTTTTGGTTTGCTAAGATATGTTTTGCTGTACACTTTTGTTGCAAGAACAGTCCCCACATATGCTTCTGACATAATTCTCTATGCTTTTTCCCCATCCTTCAATATTTTCCTGCCTACAGCTGTTAGGAGACTCCAGGAGCAAGGTACCAGTGCTTTAACTTTTGTTTTACAACTTTATTTTTTCTCTTGTGAGTATATTTCCTTTAGGAACTAGGGAAAGCAACAACAAAAAAATGTAGTATAGTATAGAAATTCTAGTCTGAACTATGATTTTGTTGAATCTAGTGAAGCTTTTATTAGTGATGGAGTCGGTCACTTCTCACATTTGTTTTAGTATTTATGTTGGATGTCAGACTCTGTGTCTTCTAGTAGTGTTTCATTTTATCTATTAACCCAGTTTGTGTCTACTCTTATACCATTATTATTTCATGAATGCATATGTTCAACATTTTTCTTATTTTAGGAATCTGTGTGTAAGTAAGATGATCATATAACTTATCATCCTACAAAGATACTTTTGGGAGTGAAAGGGGGCACTATTAATAATTATGCTGGGACAGTAGTCATAAGATAGAACTGTTCTGAGCATATTGGGATATAGGTACAAGTCATATTAGAAAATTATATTTGTACAGTTTAAGCCAGTAACTGTTTGTTTTTCTCTTAAATTGTACTTTATAAATTTTATCAATTTTATATAGCTGTTGCTTCGTTATTTATGGGTTTAACTTACAGTTATTTATATTTAGGGTAAAATAAATGAATGAAGCCGATTTGTGTTTGTAAAACTTAAAAATCCTTAATAAAAGTGGCTCAGGTAATTTAAGAATCCTTTTACATAGGATACTCTGCCACTGACATTTCAGTTTGAGACTTTCTTAAGGAATCGTGACTATTCAGACAAATTTACCCATAGACATTGTTCAAGATATACGACTTTTGATTGGGAAGGGGCTGTGGGTACACATACTTGCAGGTGCTGAGCCAGGTTATTTAACATATAATTCCATTTAATCTTCACAAGGCTGTGAGAAGAATAATTATTATCATCTCAAAGATGGAGAAACTGAAGCAGAAAGATCAGGAGGCTTTCTGAAGTCTTAGCCAGTTGGTGGTGGCAGCAGGATCACAACCCAAATCTGTCTTACTGAAAAGTCCACACACACACTGCTAGAGACTATATATATTCTTTTCTCTCTGGACAGGTTGCTCTGCTTATTATTTATAGTATTTATCAGAAGTCCGCTTTTCTGTTTTTATTCCCTAATCTGTAAGCATGGGGCAAATGTGATGCCTCCGCATATGTATGTGTATCTTTTTACATTTAACTCTTTGTTGTTGTTGGCTTTGTTTGGTATAACTCATGGTCATTTCATCTTTCCATTTCTTCCTCAATCACCCCCATCCCTAATTGGACCTGGCAGAAGAAGCCTGTGAGAAGGAGATACGAGCCGTATGGGATGTATTCTGACGATGATGCCAACAGTGATGCTTCGAGTGTTTGCTCTGAACGCTCGTATGGTTCCAGGAATGGTGGCATTCCCCATTATCTGCGGCAGACCGAGGATGTAGCAGAAGTTCTCAACCACTGTGCTAGTTCAAACTGGTCAGAAAGGAAGGAAGGGCTTCTAGGTCTGCAGAACTTACTGAAGAGCCAAAGAACACTGAGGTGAGGACGAGGGGCAAAAGTTGTGAGCTAAATTTGAATCCCATATTATACTCATCAGGGGCTTAAGTGGATTTCTTGTTATTTATGGAGACCTTACAAAGTTCCAAGACTAAAGGCGGTAAGATGACTAAGACCTAGTCTTTGCCTTTCAGAGACTTTGAAATATTTGGCAAATACTCTATAATTTGTTAGATTTATAAAAACGTGGTTTCCTTACAATCCACATTGGTCTGATAGGTATTTGAGAAATCTTGGTACAGGTTACCATTTAGGTGAAAAATAAAACTCTGCAGGTTGCTTCGGTTTATTATACTTTAGGGTTGTAGATAAGATGTTAGCAGTCTCAGTCTAAAATTTTAAAAATATACATTTTATATGCATATATATAACCTATAAATATGCGTAGTAAAGAGATACTAAAATAGGAGTACTCCAAAATAGTAACAGTATTATCTCTAGAATTATTTTTGCTTTTTTCTTTGTTTCTGTATTTCATAAATTTTCTCACATGGGGCATGTATTCACATACCAAAAAAGTGTGTTTATACCATATTTCATCAAATATAAGGCACCATTGACACACCATATTTTATATGCCTCTAAGAAGAAATGCTGCTTATTAAATCTGACATTACTAATATGTCGATTATAAGATGAATCTCACAATTACAGAGATGTTAAAATGTGAAAAAGTAGGCAACTTAGAATCTATGAAATACAGTATATTATATTCTTTAGATAATTTTTTAAAGATAAGTTATGACAGTGGATAAATTTATGGTCCTAGCTAGGTTCTACAAGCCAAGTGAGCACTGACAAATGAATTGCTATGCTACAAGTGTGGCCGTCAAGTCAGTCTGTCTCTACCCTGCTATATTCCTTACTGCTAACTAATCCCCGCCCATTCCATTCTGTTGTTCATCAAGATATCATAAGTTTTGTCAGTATGCTTTCTGAAATGCAGGTAGCCTCTGACCTCTAGTGATCTGTCAAGAAACAAATGAGGATGATTTGTTGTGATTATTGCTTCAAGAATGTTTAATTTTAGTGGTCACAATTTCTTGATTCTTAGTGTTCACCAAGTATCCATTGAATAATCTCTAGAAATCTATGGGTTAGCATTGGTCTAAACTGGATTACATTGTTAGTAATGTTAAAGGATCATTGAACCAATTATCTCGTGTATGAGGGGGGATTACTCAGGCATGATTTGGATAAGAGATGGTACTTCTAATCAAGCCTTGAAGTAACAATAGGACTAAATAGTACAGTTGAAAATCAGAAAAGGTAAAGGGGCCCTAAAATGAAATGAGTGTTTGCCTTGTCATGGGCACAGTTTTAGGTAGGGCATGTTATCTTCTTTAATCCTCTCAGCAGCCAGGTAGCTCTTATCCTGTGTGACTGTTATGGATATAAAGATATCAGAGTACTCTTTGTCTATAGAAGAACTGAGATTAAAATCCAGGTCTGTCTGACCCCAAAACACATGCTTTTCTTAGTTTGTCCTGTTGGCTTTCATCTTTGGCAGGTGGAAAATAGACCTGGAATAAAATGAACAGGATTTAGCTCATGGCTTGGCCACTTGCACATGTATGAACTTAGGCAATCACTCTCTGAGATTGTTTCCTCATTTTAAAATGAGAACAAAACTATGACGGTTTTATGTTCCGTTTTAATTTCATCTTGAGTTAAAAAATACAATTAACTGTAAAAAAAACTTTTATATAAAATTTAAATGAAGTTTATTACAGAAATAAAAGGATATTTAAAAGCAAAGTTGTAATTAAGTGTTGACTTATTAAATTTTAACTTCTTTTATTTCTATTTTATTTCCTTTAGTCGAGTAGAATTGAAAAGATTGTGTGAGATCTTCACACGAATGTTTGCTGACCCTCACAGCAAGGTAAGTCTGGGAACCACGTTATAATTACAGGCTTCTCTGCATGTCTGTGTGAGCTGTGTAATATCCTACTGAAGAATGAGAGAGAATTAGAATTCCCTATAGTGCGGTTTAGACCTCATAGATTTAACACTAATTTCAGCAATAGTTTGTCACATCTTTTAAAAATAGAATTCTTGGAAACTTCATATGGCCACAAAATTCAAGTTATAAATAAAGTACATTTCAAGTAAGAGTTATCACGGAGAGAATCAGATGTAGTCTTTCATTCAGCAGATTTTTTTTGGTGGTTCCTATTAGCCAAACAGTGAGCTACATGCTAGAATGGAACATTGGATTATAATATTGTCCCTTTTAAAAAAAAGTTATAGTCGTGAGAAAATAATCAAGTATATAATAGTTTTTTTAAAATCCCAGGTAGAATTTTTCTGTATAGGATAAGAAACAAAAATGGAAGCATTTATGTAGTAGATTTATTGGAAAACCAGTTTAACTTATTTCTCCAAATAGAATTTTGCTGTTCTCAAGAACTTTTTGGATGGTGGCCACTTAGCTGGTGCCTACATCTCCTGGGTGCCCAGAGAGCACTGAGCCTGAGAACCACCTTTCTGGCAAGGACATCCCTGCTACAGGAAAACACCCATGAGTGAGGGACAGGGCCTTTTCTAGGAGTGGTGCCGGGAGAGGCTCTTTATAAGAGTTTACTTGGAGTCTAGATTTTAAATACATACCACTGTTTGGGAGGAAACCTTTAGAGAGATGCTTGTAGAGAAAGAAAATGGGGAATTGATATCAAGAAAGTTAAAGGGTGAATAAAGGACAGAAACTAAAGTGTAGAAATTGATTAAACCTTAATCACTATAAGCAAATCTTAAATGTTTGATATGCAAAGTTTAACTATCTTATATTACAGTTTTCCTAGTAAAAATGATCTGTTCTAACTTTCACTGGAAGAATGAAACCTGTGATGGCCAGAAGGTCCAGCCCATGTTTGTGATGTCCCTTCTTTTCATAGCTTTTCTTCTTCATAGGAATTGTCTTTGAAGTATCAAATATTCATCTGCCCAGTCATTCAACATTTACTGAGTACCCACTGTGGGCTAGGGATACAGAACGCAACATATGGCACCTGCTTTTTGAGATGCTCATGGGAACATAGGAGAATGAATGCAAGGGTTCTCTCCTTATTTTAGAAGCACTTCTCCTCAATAATTGGTCTTAAAGCATGTCTTAAAATTCCTGACATGACCCTCACAGTAAGGTTAACATTAACAATATTACTAAGATCCAAGAAAGATGGATGCCACCTTTTTTTTTTCTTTTACTATTTATTAACTACCTATTATGTTAGATGTTAGACTAAATGCTGGTGACACAGGAGTGAGTAGTACAGAAACAGTCCCTGCCTGAGTGCTTCCAGACTTGGGGGAGCTGAACTTTAACCATTAGTCACATACATCATCACAGACTGAACTGAGTTTTCAGTGGAGTAGATAGGGGAGGTTTCCCCAAGAAAGTGACATATGAATTGAAAGCCGAAAGGTTAGCAGTCTTAAGTAGGTGATGGAAGAAACATTCCAGGTACGAGAACCACACAGATACCAAAGATATAATTATCAAGTTTTTGCTCTAAGATAGTGTTAAAAACAGTAAGATTTAAAGGATATTAGATGGTTTTGGACATTGATGAAATTTCTGTTACCTGTCACCTCTAGATTGCTGATTCAGAACCAGAATGTGAGGATAAAGAAGGAAATTTGTTTCCATCAGAAGGCTCTTGTACAGTGAGTTTGGAGGTCTCAGTTTAGTTATTCTTTATTAGCTGTCTTTGAGCTAAGCTAGGATTCCCACAGCTGGGGCTCATTGACTTTTTTTCTGAGCTGTCTCATGGGAGACCCATGGTGGTTAATAGTTGCTGTGCTGTGACAGTATATGATGGCTGGGTTGTCCCAGAAGAGCAAGACTCATTAACCAAGTAGGGGGCACAGTGCTACTTAGCTCTCTGAAATCAGTTCAGGGATAGTCCACTGTGACTCTCTCTTCCTAGACAGCAGTAATGAGTACACAGCAGCATGACAGTTACGTGAGCTGTTAGCGCCTTTTATTCTAAGCCATAATCGTTTATAAAAGATTTTCATGGCTTTTGTAATATCTCTTTACAAAGATAGTGCTTTACAGTATCTGAATTGGCATACTTTAAAATAGACGACTAAAACGAAAAGAAACATACACACAAGTTTCCTCCCTCATCCTATAATAATTTTTTTTGAATAAGTGTCACATTGTAATCTTTATGTATCAGAAAATTTTTTCTTACACTTGACATACAGTATATTAACTTAAGATGTGAAAGTAATTACCCCAATAAGTCTGGTACCCACCTGATGCCATACATAGTTATTAACAATATTTTTGAGTATATTCCCTGTGCTGTACTTGACATTCCTGTGACTGTTTTTATCAGTGGATATTTGTACATCTTAATCCCTTCCCCTTTTTCACCCAACCCCCCCAACCCTTCCCATCTGGCAACCATTACTTTGTTCTTTGTATCTATGAGTTTGTTTCTGTTTTATTTGTTTTGTAGATTTCACATATAAGTAAAATCATATAGCATTTCTCTTTTTCTGTCTGATTTATTTTACTCGCATAATACTTTCTAGGTCTATCCATGTTGTCGCAAATGGCAAGATTTTGTTCTTTTTTATGGCTGAATGATGTCTATTGTATATATGTACCGCATTTTCTTTACCAGTCGTCTATTGAATGACAGGTTGCTTCCATATCTTGGCTATTGTAAATAATGCTGCAGTGAAACATAGGGATGCATATATCTTTTTGAATTAGTGTTTCGGATTTCTTTGTGTAAATACCTGGAAGTGGAATTACTGGGTCATAAGGTACTTCTATTTTTAATTTTTTGAGGAACCTCCAAACTGTTTTCCATAGTGGCTATACCATTCTGCAATCTTTCCAGCAGTGCACGAGGGCTTCCTTTTCTCCACATCCTTGCCAACACTTGTTTGTTGATTTGTTGGTGATGGTCATCTGACAGATGTGATGTGTTTTCCTGATAATTAGTGAAGTTGAACATGTTTTTATATGTCTTTTGGCCATCTGTATGTCCTCTTCTGGAGAAATGTCTGTTCAGATCCTCTTCCCGTTTTTTAATCAGATCGTGTTTTTTGCTGTTAAGTTGTATGAGTTCCTTATATATATTGTATATTAACTCCTTATTGGAGTAATCATTGGTGAGTATCTTCTCCCATTTAATAGGTTATCTTCTCGTTTTGTTGATGGTTTCCTTTGGTGTGCAAAAACTTTTTTTTTTTTTTTTTTTGCAGTTCAAATGATTTCTTTTTAATTTAATTAGTTTCAAGTATACAATACCTTGGTTAGACGTCTATATAGTTCGTAAAATGATTCCCCCAATTTCTCCCTCCCTCCTCTGACCCTCCACCTAGCCAACGTATTAATGCTAATTACATTCCCTCTGCTGTGCTCCCTATCCCTGTGACCATCCATCAGCTACTAATTTGTACTTCTTTAACCCTTCACCCCATTCTCCCAGCCCCCCAAATCCCCATCCCCTCTGTCCACCACCAAATTGTCCACTATATTTGTGAGTCTGTTTTTGATTAGTTTGTTCTTTTTATTGCTTAGATTCTGCATATAAGTGAAATCATATAGTTTATCTTTCTCTGTCTTACTTAAATACCTTCTAGGTCCATCAAAGCAATATGTTTTTCCATTCCCTTCTTTTTAGTCTGTGTCTTTTAATCTGAAGTGAGTCTCTTATAGGCAATATGTAGGGTCTTGTTTTCCTTTCCATTCATCCACTCTTTTAGTTGGAGCACTTAATTCTTTTCCATTTGAGGTACTTATTGATAGGAATGTAGTTGTCATCATTCTTTATTCCTGTTTTTGATACATGTTTTTTCTTCTTAAAGAAGTCCCTCCAACATTTCTTGTAATGCTGGCTTGGTGCTGATGAATTCCTTTAGCTTTTTCGTGTCTGGGGAGCTCTTTATCTGTCCTTCGATTCTAAATGATAGCTTTGTTCTGTGAGCTTCCTGGGGTTTTCTGTCCATTTCCTTCACCAGGTGAGGGACATTTTCCATCATTATTTCTTCAAATAGCTGTTCAACATCTTGATTTTCTTCAGTTACGCCGATCAGACAGATATTTGGACTCTTAATAGTGTTCCATATGCTCCTTAAATTATTTTTATAGTCTTGGCATCTTATCTCTCGCTGTTCTGATTGCATATCCTTGGCTTTCCTGTCCTCTAGATAGGACATGTGATCCTTTTCTTTATTCACTTTGTTTATTCCTTTGTTTATTCCATTTAATATATTTCTCATCTCAGATAATGTGTTCTTCATTTCAGACTGGTTCTCTGTTATAATTTCCATTCCATTTTTATGTTTTTTATGAAGTTCTCACTGAATTTATCTACACTTCCCAAAAGTTCGTTGAGCATCTTTAAACCAGTGTTAGATTACTTGACTCCATTATATCTGGATCTCTGTTCTCTTCTCTCATATGGTTTCTGCTTCTTTGTCTTCCCATTTTGGCTGGCTGTCTTTGTATTAAGCAAAGCTTCTAAGTCTCCCGGTCTTATTAGTGTGGCTTTGTGGAGTAGATGTCCAGTGGCACAGTCCTGGGAGGTGTTCTGCTGCAGGCTAAATTTAGCCCAAGCCTCTACTCCTCCGGGGCTGTCTGTTAAGATTCAGCAAGCAATCCACAGAAGCTGTGCTTATAGTTGCCTCAAAAGGCACACCAGAAACCGAGGCCAGCTGCCTCCAGAGTTTAGGCACTACTCAACAAGGAGCACCTCACTCTTTGAGGATACACCTGGATGTGGCTTGGGTGGGGCCGCGAGTTGAGGGAGGCGAGGTTTCAGGGAATCCTCTGGGCAGAGTGACCTCTGTTATCCAGTTTGATGACGTCACAGCTATGGCGGCGCTGTGTCCGCACACTGGAGGTGGGGAGGGCTTATCAAGCAACAGTGGATACCACAGGCATTTCTGTACAGAGCGAGTCTTGCCTCGGCCCTCACCCTGAAAACATCTCTCTGTAAATCCCCGGTGCCCCCTGTGCGCAGCCGAATCAGCACTGGTGCCCAGAGCGAGCAGGTCCATCATCACGAAAGTGTGCTCACGGACATGGCCCCTTTAAGAGACGTCTGCAGCTGCCGCTGCCGCAGCCTCCGTCTCACTCAGCTGCTGGAGACCAGGCAGCCCTGCATCCTTGCCCTGTCCTACCTCTTGCTGTTGTAGGGTGTTTTCTTGGATTTCTCCCTAGTCATATGGCTTGTTCATCTAGATCCCAGGTGATTTTTCCTGGCTGCTGCTCCTTGTTTCCATCACAACTTTGATTTGGTCGCCAGAGGGATGAACAGAGCCTCTGTCACCTACGCCATTTCTTTTTTCACCCAAAACCTTTTTAGTGTGATGTAGTCCCATTTTTGTATTTCTTCTTTTGTTTCACTTTCCCAAGGAGCTGTGTCAGAAAAAATAATACCAAAAGTAATGTCAGAGAGTTTACTGTTTGTGTTTTCTTCTAGGAATTTTATTGTTTCAGGTCTTACATTTTAAGTCTTTAATTCATTTTGAGTTTATTTTTATATATGGTGTAAGAAGGTAGTCTAATTTCATTTTTTTTGTATGTATCTGCCCAGTTTTCCCAACACCATTTATTGAATAGACATTCTTTACCCCATTGTATATTCGTGCCCCCTTTATCATAGATTAATTGACCATCTGGGTGTGGATTTATTTCTGGGCTCTCTGTTCTGTTCCATTGATTTATATGCCTGTTTTTATGCCAGTACCATGCTGTTTTGATTATCATAGCCTTATAGTATAGTTTGACATCAGGTAGCATGATATTTCCAACTTCGTTCTTCTTTCTCAAGATCGCTGTGGCTATTCAGGGTCTTTCGTGGTTCTATATAAATTTTAGCCTTATTCTTTCTAGTTCTGTGAAAATTGTCATTGGCATTTTGATAAGGATTGATTATACTGAATCTATAGACTGATTTGGATAGTATGGAACTTTTAACAATTTTAATTATTCCTATCCATGAGCATGGTATATCCTTCTATTTAATTGTATCTTCAATTTCTTTCTTCAATGTCTTATAATTTTCCAAGTACAGGTCTTTTACTTCCTTGATTAAATTTATTTCCAGGTATTTTATTTTACTTTTTTGATGCAATCATAAATGGTTTTTTTTTTTTTTTTTAAATATCTCTGATAGTTTGTTCTGGTTATATAAAAATACAACCAATTTCTGAATATTAATTTTGTATCCTACTTTACTGAATTCATTTATTAGTTCTAACAGTTTTTTGGTGAAGACTTTAGGGTTCTCTATGTGTACTACCATATCATCTGCAAATAATGACAGTTTTACTTCTTTCTTTCCAATTTTCCCACCACCATTTATTGAATAGACAGTCTTTAGGATGCCTTTCTTTCTTTTTCTTGTCTGATTGCTGTGGCTAGGATTTCTAATACTGCATTGAATAAAAGTGGTGAGAGTGGACAGACATCCTTGATTTGATCTTGATCTTAAGGAAAATGCTTTTAGCTTTTCCCTGTTAAGTATGTTAGCTGTGGGTTTGTCATACATGGTCTTTATTATGTTGAGATATTTCCTTCTATCCCCACTTTACTGAGAGTTTTTATCATAAGTTGGTGCTGGATTTTGTCAAATGCTTTTTCTGCACCTTTTGATGTGATCATATGATTTTTATCCTTCACTTTGTTTACGGGGTATATCATGTTAATTAATTTGCAGATATTGAACCAACCTTGCATCACAGGAATAAATCCCAATTGATCACATTGTATGAGCTTTTTAATGTATTGTCAAATTCGGCTGGCTTATCTTTTTTCAGGATTTTGCATATGTATTCATCAGGGATATTGGCCTTATTATTATTATTATTATTATCATCATCATCATCATCATTATTAATTATTTTGTAATATCATTTTTGGTTATAGGTTTATGCTGGCCTTGTAAAATGAGCTTGAGATCCTTGCCTCTTCAATTTTTTGGAATAGTTTGGGAAGGATAGGTATTAATTCTTCTTTGAATGTTTGGTAAAATTCACTTGTGAAGCCATTTGATGCAGGAATTTTGTTGGGAGATTTTTGAATACTGATTCTATTTTGTTAGTAGTTAGTGGTCTGTTCACATTTTCTGTTTCTTCTTGATACAGTCTTGGAATATTGTACGTTTCTAGGAATTTATCCATTTCATTTATGTTTCCATTTTGTTGGCATATAATTATAGTACTTTTTAATCCTTTGTATTTTTCTGATGTCAGTTGTCACTTCTCTTTCACTTCTGATTTGATTTAGGCCATCTCTTTTTGAGCCTGATTAAAGGTTTATCAGTTTTATCTTTTCAAAGAACCAGCTATTGGTATCATTGATCCGTGGGGTTTTTTTTTGTTTTTTGGTTTTTTTTTTAGGCTCCATTTTGTTCATTTCCTCCCAGATCTTTATTTAATTTCCTTCTTTTTTTTTTTTTTTTTTTTCCTAGTTCTTTTTGGTGTAGGGTTAGATTGTTTCCTTGAGATTTTTCTTGATTTTGAGGTAAGCTGTATTGGTATGACTTTCTCTCTTAAAACTCCTTTGACTGTGTCCCATCGATTTGGAGTCATTGTGTTTTCATTTTCATTTGTCTCAGGTATCTTTTGATTTCTTTCTGGATATCGTTGTTAACCCGTTAATTGTTTAGTAGCATATTATTTAGCCTCCGTTCATGTGTTTTTCAGTTTTCTTGTAATTGATTTCCAGTTTCATATTACTGTGATAGGAGAAGATGCTTGATATGATTTCAGTCTTCTTAAATTTATTGAGACTTGTTTTGTGGCCTAATATGCGTGATCTATCCTGGGAAATGGTCCACGTGCACTTAAAAAGAATGTATATATTATACTGCTTTTGGGTGAAATGTCCTAAAAATATTAAGTTCATGTGGTGGAAGTGTTGTTAGGCCACTGTTTCTTTGTTGATTTTCTCTCTGGATGATCTGTACATTGATGTCAATGAGGTGTTAAAATCCCCTACTGTGACTGTAATACTGTCATGCTCTTTTATGTCCATCAATATTTGCTTTTCTTTATATATTTAGATTATCCTGTGTCAGTTGTGTTAATTTTTACAGGAGTTATATCCTCTTGTTGGATTGATCTCTTTTCATTGTGAAACATCCTTCCTTGTCTCTTGTTATAGCCTTTGTTTTAAAGTCTATGTTGGAACAATTTTTTTTCCATCCCTTTACTTTCAGTCTGTGTGTGTGTTTTGATATCAGGTGGGTCTTTTGTAGGCAGCATATGCATGGGTCTTATTTTCTTATCCATCCAGCCACTCTATGTCTTTTGTTTGGAGCATTTAGTCCATTTACATTTAAAATAATTGTTGGTAGGTATTGCCATTTTATTAGTTGTATTCTGGTTGTTTTTTGTAGTTATTCTCTGTTCCTGCCTTATTTCCTACTCTTTTCTCTTGTATGTTGATGTCTTTCTATAGTGTTGTGTTTGGATTCCTTCCTCTTTATTTCTTGTGTATCTTAGATAAGATTTTTGATGTCATTATCATGTGCTTTTTTATACCAAGCTGTATATATAGCAATCTATTTTAAGTTGATGGTTGCTTAAGCTTGAATACATACTAAAATCTCTACAATTTTTACTTGCTTCCTCCACATTTTTTTTGTCATTATTTTATACTTTTTTGTGTGTGCGTGTTCCTGTGTATCCCTTAATTTACTGTTGTAATTACATGTGATCTTCCTATTTTGGCCTTTAACCTTTGTACTAGCTTTATTGTTGGTTGATCCACTCTTTTTATTATGTCTTTGCCTTTGTCAGTGGGAACTTTTTTCTTCGCTATATATTCTTATTTATATCTTTGATTTTTAAAAAATTCTCTTAAATCTTTTTAAGTTTTCATGTAATACTGGTTTGGTGGTGGTGAACTCCTTTCGTTTTTTTTGTCTGGAAAACTCTCTGTCCTTTAGTTCTAAATGTTTGCCTTACTGGATAAAGTAATCTTGGTTGTAGGTCCTTGCTTTTCATCACTTCAGTTTTCTAGCCTGCAACATTTCTGATGAGAAATCAATCAGCTGACAGTCTTTTGGGAGTTCCCTTGTATGTAACTAACTGCTTTTCTCTTGCTATGTTTAAAATTCTCGCTTTGTCTTTTACCTTTGGCATTTTAAATATGTATGTCTTGGTGTGGGCCACTTCGGGTTCATCTTGTTTGGGAATCTCTGTACCTCATGGCCTTGTATGTCTACTTACTTCACCAGGTTAGGGAAGTTTTCTGTCATCACATCTTCAAATAGGTTTTCAATCTAATTCCTGTCTCTCTTTTCCTTCTGGTACCCCTATGCTGTAAATGTTGGCACACTTGATGTTGTACCGGAAGTCCTTTAAACTATCCAACTTTTTTTTATTCTTTTTTTTGTTTTTTCTGCTGTTCCAATTGGATGTTTTTCGCTACCTTGTCTTTCAGATCACTGGATCACTGATTTAACCCTCTGTTTCATGTAATCTGCTGTTGATTCCATCTAATATAGTCTTCATTTCATTTATTGTAGTCTTCAATTTTGACTGGTCCTTTTTTGCAGTTTCTATCTCTTTGAGTAAGTTTTCACTGATTTCATCTTTTTTTTCTTAAATTCATTGAGCATCCTTTTGACCAGTATTTTGAACTCTATATCTAGTAGATTGTTTGCCTCCATTTCATTTAGTTTTCTTTCTGGAGTTTTATCCTGTTTTTTTCATTTGGGAGATGTTTCTTCGTCTTCTCATTTTGGCCACCTTCCTGTTTTTGTTTTTATGTATTATGCAGATCTGCTACATCTCCCAATCTTGGCAGAATAGCCTAATGTAGTAGGTGTCTTATGGGTCCCAGTGGTACATACTCCCTGGTCACGTGAGCATGGTGCTCCAGGGGTGTGCCTGGTGTGAGTTGTGTGTGCCCTTCTATTGTAGTTGAGCCTTAGTTGCCATTGGCACATCAGTGGGTGGGATTGACTTTCAGGCTGAGTGGCTATGGGGACTGGCTATGACTGCAATGGATGAACTGTTGTGCGGGGGTTGACTGCACAGAGCATGAATCACTTTAACAGGGTTCTGGTGCCTGCCAAGTCTGCCCTTTAGTTACGTCATTTGTGGGGCCGGTTAGGTGGTACTCTGATATGGTCTGAAGTCAGCCACTGGGTGTTTTGGTTCTGAGGTTTCTTGTGAGGGACTCTTCTGCAGGCCATATTAGCTGATTCCTGTGTCTAGCCTGGGGCGACCTGGCCAGACCTACAAAATGACCTGCAAGGTTTGTCTGTGCTGGGTGTGGAGGTGCCTGGAAGAGGCTATGCGTAAACCGAGGCTGACTGCCGTTGGTACCAGGCTTGAGGCCACTTAAGAAGAGGTATCAGGAACACAGACTAGCTGCTGCTTCTTTGGGGTTTGTTGATTTTTGAGAGACTTTAGAAATCCACAGCATGGGCCGAGTTTGGCTGCTTGTGTGGAAAATCCACTGACAGAAGTTCAGGCTCAGCTTGTAACTTGGGTGGGGTGAACAATGTTAGCCAGATTGATGGAGAGTTCAGATTTGGTGCTCACCCGTGCCTGCCAGCTGGATGGGGGAAGACTTAACAAATGAATAATGGCAACTGCTAGCACTTCCAACTGGAGAGAGCTATGTGAGGTGTCCTGACCTCTGCCCCTTCAACTCTTGTCCTGAAGCTAATCAATTTACTTGCTCCTTGTATGTCCCTGGTGCTTTTCGAGTTGCTGCTCCTACTCTGGCGTCTGAACAAGTGAGTTTGTGAGCCAGTGAGTCTGTGTGTAGACCCTTTAAGACCTGCAATGCCTTTGTTTCTAGTGGCCTGTTGTCTCTCTTGGACACAGTCTGCACTGGTTTTCAGCTAGATGTTTTAGGGACTTATCTTCCCAGTTATGGTTCCCTGGGCTGGGTTACCTGGTGTGGTTCTGGGACCCCTTGTTCCTCAGGAGGAACATATAGCCAAGATATCCCTCCTGATTCTTAACCACCACACATCAGTATATGACAAGCCAGTTCCGCATCTCCATCCCTCCTACCAGTCTCTGTGGCTTCTTCTTTTTATCTTTAGTTATAAGATTTCCTACCAGTCTCTGTGGCTTATTCTTTATATCCTTAGTTATAAGCTAGTCTTCAGGTGGTTCTCAGAGGCGTTTGTTCTATAACTTAGTTGTAATTTTGATGTGGTCATGGAAGAAGGGGAGCACAGCATCTACCTCCACCACCTTGACCTGAAGTCTTCCTATAACAGCGTTTGTTGAATGCTAGAGAATGAACAATAATAGTATAGAATTATGATGGTTAAATTTTTTTTTTTTTTAAAGAAAGGGAAAAAATGGAAAGCTTCTAGATTAAACTAATACTTTTCAGCAAAGCTCATTCTCTCTGTACTGAGTTTTAAAGGCATTTGAGGGAGGGGAGACCATTTTATCAGATTGTAGCCCTTTCAAGTCTTTTAAGAAACTGCATGAAAATATTATTAATGCACTGTGGACTAACATGGAATTTGTTTTGTTGCATGGCCTGGTTTGCTGTGGAATTCACATCAGAGAGTAAGTTCCCATACTTTTTGCTTTATTTTCTTTAAAATATTTGCTTTCTATAGTATGACCAGTTGTTAACTGTGTTAATGTAAGTTGTAAGAATCTGGGCAAAGCCAGTATAGGCATTTTTAATGTTTTGGAGACTTTGGAGGAAATTATGAATTAAATATGTGAAATGTTTGATTTTCATTTTTGTCTAGGTTTTCAGTATGTTTTTAGAGACTCTTGTGGATTTTATAATAATTCATAAGGATGACTTGCAAGACTGGCTTTTTGTTCTTCTCACACAATTACTTAAGAAAATGGGAGCAGATTTACTTGGATCTGTACAAGCAAAAGTTCAGAAGGCTCTAGATGTCACAAGGTAAGTGTTTTGGCAGGGGGGTGGACCATTTTTTTCAGCTTTTCGCATATAATTGGCATAGACCATTGTATAACTCTGAAGTATACAACGTGATGATTTGATACTTGTATATATTGATAATTACCACAGTGTTAGTTAACACTTCTTTTACCTCACATAATTACTGTTTTCTTGTGGTGGTGATAGTGAGACCATCTATGATCTATTCTCTTAAGACCTTTAAAGTATATAGAACAGTATTGTTAACTATATCACTGTGCTGCACTTTAGAACTTCAAATTATTCATGTTATAACTAGAAGTTTGTACCCTTGACCAATATCTCTCTATTTCACTTACCCCTAACATCCGGCAACCACTATTCTCTCTGTTTCTTTGGGTTTGGCTTTATTTATTTATTTTTTTAAGATTCCACATATAAGCTAGAATTGGAGAACATTCTTATATACCAGTATGGCAATGGATTTATAAAGCATTGGCTACAAGGGCTAGGCTGATCCAGCTGATAATAAATGAGCGAAGTAGGTAGAAATGGGGGGTTCTACGATAGGATGGAGGGCGTTTGTGGCCATGTTGGAACATGGGTCCAGTGGTACTGCTTTTCAAGGATGATCAAAAATGTAAGGTAATTAATACATTTGGGAAATTTTTTTTTATTTTATGAACATTTATGAGCCAGGCTTGGCCTATAGGTCACTTAATTTAGGTGAATTTATGAAAGACTAGGTCCCTTTCATACTTTTAAGGATTGTGGGAATATTATGATTATATCCCTAAAATTTGGTGATTAAAGAAAACAGTTATTCCCTCCTATTAATTTTCTCGGATGCCTCTTTCCTTTAAGAATCCTGTTCTCAGTAGATTTGATCTAAGTCTCTAAAGTATGTTTATTATTCCCCTTTTCTCAGCAGCTGAGATGTATAGCTGCTTAAGTTTATCTGGGATCAGTCAGTATCGAGGGCTCAGTGCTGGCTGAGAGCTGTTCCTCAGGTAATAGACCTGACTGTAACTCTGCATCAGTTTCCTTTCCTTTGGCTGTACTTAACAGCAGGGCACATTTCCAGGTTAAACACACCAGTTACTTCTTGTAGGAGAAAGGAGAAACATTTTATGTGTGGTTTGTTGACCTTGCTTCTTTAATTTATAGCAAGTACGAGTCACTTAAATTACGTATTATAAAGAATACTTTGCTTCCAGAGGTGGTCCTCATAGCTTCCTGGATGCAAATAGTTATGGGAGAAAAGAATGTGCTATATGGTCAAGTTCACTTCTTATTAGTAATTTTAATACTGGTAATACTAGTACCTCGTATGCGCCCTGTGCTTTATATTTTTCTTATATTTCATTTAAATTTCACATCTTTCCTGTGATTTTGTAGTTTTGAATGTACAGCCCTTTTCTTTTCACTATACTTCTGTAGATTGAGAAAAGTCTAAGAGAGTTTAAAAACAGCAGTTCAGTCAGTCGCTCAGCCTCAATTATAATAGATGTTTGCATTGCATTATCTTTCTTGTTAGTATGGCGTTATGCACATTGACTCTGTTATGCAATTTTACACTAATACTAGTAATTAAGGGGAAAGAGAGCACTGACTTTCTTTAACCAAGAGCCCTCAGGGTTACTCAGTTGGACCAAAGATGTGAGGTAACTAAAGAAAGGAATCAGTAACAGGTAAGAAATGGAGCAGGAGAGGGGCTCCTAGGGCCCCCAGGGTTCTGTGTGTGTTTTGTAGCTGGGTGGAGATTTTCCTTACTGAGTATCCCACAGGCACTACTTCTTGTGGTTACTATACCAAATAGAGATTGTTAGCAGTCACCCAGGTAGAGGACCAAGGAGGACAGTGCAATTAGCTTAAGCAAGGTCAGCTATAAGCAGTGTGTTCAGGATGTAAAAATAAGATTTGGGAATTTGCAGTGTTTTTTGTGTAAGCAATATTCAGAAAGGTAGCTGGAGAGAAGATGAGCAGATCCCTAGAAGGCAGGTAAGAATCTCTTCCTTATTAGTTTATTGTTTAGTATTAATTTTTAAAAAGCATACTCAAAGTAGGTTTGGTATGTGTTTCGGGAGGTTTAACAAGATTTCCCTGTTTCTAAATTTTTTATGTAATGTGTATAACATTAGTATTTATATAAAATGAAAAGTACTATTTAAAAAATGTGAACAGGCTTCCTTTAACATATATTAATCTACAACAGAATTTTTGTCTTTTAAATGGTTTTTACATTATTTTTTGTATTCAATTTTTCTTTAAAAACAAGCATTTTTTTTTTTAAACCTAGGGACTCCTTTCCATTTGATCAACAATTTAACATTTTGATGAGATTTATTGTGGATCAAACTCAGACTCCGAACCTCAAGGTGGGTAACGATTTGTCATTGCAGTTCAACCTTTAGAAGCCAAATTTGTGTGAAATTTACTTTTTATACATGACTTATATTTGGCCATTAGAATAAATCTGCTGCGAGCACACTTGTATACCTGTTGGTGGACATGTTTTCTTTTTTCTTGGTTCAGTACCCAATAGAGAAATTGCTGGTTTATTGGGTAGGCTTTATGTTTAACTTTATTTTAAACTGTTAAAATGGTTGTATTATATGCCTACCAGCAATATGTGAGGGTTCCAGTTGTTCCACATCTTTACCAACATTTGGGTGTTATTACTCTGTCACAATATTTAAACTAAAAAATACTCATGTGGTGAGGTAGGTATCTTAATGGAATTTTTAAAAATTAATATTAAAAATATCCTAACATGTGAAAATTACTTAATACATGTTATAAAATTATACGTTTAATAACAGTTAAATATGAGGGAGGATATGTATTCATTTAAGATAGTTCATGTACATCATCTATTCTTCTATCATTAACTTTTGTTGGGTTTTTAGGATAGGCCCAATCAGTAATAACCCTTTTCTTGTGAGGTCAGAACTAATTGAGACAGTAATGGAAAAGTTAAGGCAGCATATCAGCTTAATTACTGAAAACGTTGCCTTGCAAGGCATGACCTAGAATGTCTGTAAAGCAGTACTAACCACAGAGTGGTACTTGCCCTTACCAGTTGGTGGCAGAGCTGGAAATCCCACAGCTCCCCACATGAGCCCCTGGCCTATGTGTTTTACAGCACACATGAGGAGCAGAACCTCCTTTTCTGCAGGCATGGTGCTCAAAAAATGAAGAGTATTAAGCTACATGCCACTCTTCCTGTTCTTAATCGTACTTCTCAGTCATTTCATGGTTTTTGTCCTGATAGATGTGGAAACATGAATCCAAGAGAAAGGAGGTGTCCCTCAATAGTATGTTTACTTTTCTCTGGTCACCAGTTGAAGAATTCTTTTCAAAGATTCAAAAAGTATGCTTAATGTTTATAATTATTGGATCTTTCAGGTCAAAGTTGCAATTCTGAAGTACATTGAGTCTCTCGCCAGGCAGATGGATCCAACAGATTTTGTAAACTCTAGTGAGACCAGGCTTGCTGTTTCTAGAATTATAACCTGGACAACAGAACCAAAGAGTTCAGATGTGAGAAAGGTATGTCCAAGAGAGCTGCAGTGCAGCTCTAATGACAGACTGTTCTTAGTATGTGTTTAAAAAAAAATTGTCTAGAAACTTGCAAACTACCCAGTGCACCTACATATAAACATCTGTCACAGCTTTTCTTTGAAAACCCAGACTTTTCTCTTGCCCCTTCTCTTCTCTCTCCAGCTCTACCTTGTTCCAGTCTCTGAATATTAAAACGAAAATCTGAAATCTTGTATGATGGGTTCATGGTTTTCTTAGGCATCTATTTATGTTTTTTAATGTGAAAGCACTAGTAGTTTAGTATCTCTTAAAAGGACATTGGTTTCTCTTAACATTCGTTTTGTGGCATGTTCTTTGAATATAGAATTGCAGATATAAGGCTACCTGGCCTTGAGGTGCCTAACGGTAAAATGCGGTTGTAAGTTTGCAGAGATATAATTAATTCTAGAATTTGAAAAGAGCGCAAAAACTTCCGATTATATGCCACACTTGGAACACACTCTCTTTGATTTGGGGGATGTGAGGTGAGGGGGTGAAATTCAGATTTTTGAGACACCCTGATACCAAGGTGGTGTTTTGCTGTTTTTAAGCCACCGAAGAGAAATATTTGCTACTTTCTTCTGAAACGGCACATTGAGAGGCATAGAACATAGTAGAGAGCACAGGATACTGCTATTTCTGTTACTAGATAGTATTCTGCCTCAGGACTATTATGAAGATTAATTAATATGTGTAGAGCATTTAATCAATTCCTGACACCAAAACAAGCATAAGGCATTACTGCATTTGTTGTTTCTATTATTCCCTTCCTGTCGGTGTCCTGTTCTTCTACACTCGAATTTCACATGTGGCTATTATTCTTTTACTTTATATATAAGTTAACTAGCATGTATAAAGTACTTTTAAAAGCCAGATTTCTTCTTTCAGACTAAAAGTACTTGATTTTAGTTATTTGTATATAATCACAAAGCTTGCATTTTTTTCTTCTGTACTGTACTCCATCCACATCTATCCCTACCAGTCAGTGTAAGTCCTTTGGCCTTGGGACAGAATTGATAATGCAGATGAGTTGAGTCTAAGCAGGGAAAAGGGGAACGATGTTTCCAAAGAATAGTTAGCAAGGTCGGTGTATTTCTAAGTGCAAATTAACACTTAGCTCCTTCTGTAATGCAACTCAAGAACTAAAGCATTATCGAAAAGGTTTCTTTGGAGGGGCCGTAATCCAGGTACTTCTGTCATTCATCGTATAGTAATAAACTAAGTCGTTCAAGATCAAAGGAGCAAGGGCAAGTCTTATTAAAGCACTTATTCAAAATCATTGTTCTAATATTAACTAATATTTTTGATTCATGATCCTTTTGTAAAATCTCTCAACATGTATCAAAAGAGCATTCAACAGCCAACCTTTGCTTTAACCATTAAGCCTGTTTTGGATTAGGGAGGTACAGTGGGAGGTGGTTGAATGATTTGGTTGGTTTGTAAGTCAGAAACAGATATTTCTGCTGTGATTTTCAAAATCACAAGATCAATAAATACAAAAGCAGTAAGTGCAGCTTTCTATCTTTAGTTCTAACGTGTATGTGAGTATGTGCTTTTGTAATTAAGTATTACCTAAGAATCCCCTCCTGGGGAGCTAAAACGTGTTTTAGCTTCACATGACAATGAATAGGACCTGTGTGAAAGCAACTTGGCCATCATGTCTACCTTCTCTGGAAGAGCATATTAAAAATGTGAACTAGGGTTTATTGTCTTAAATTTTCTAATCGAGACATTACAGGAACTTTTTTCCTTGAGCTAATCTAGTCTGGGGCTCCAAAACAGTCAACTTATTTTAATACTAGCTTAAGTCAGATATGGTAAGGATATTAAACTGATTGCCAGCAATCACAAGGTTCACTTACTGTGTGATCTTTAACACTTAATTTCAATACTTTGAATCAGATAGTGCTTTTCACAAAGCCTGGTCTCCACTGGCATTCTACTTCTGGTGCCTACCCTCACTTGTTCTCCTTCCTCATCTGAGACCTATGTAACAGCTCATATTCAACTGAGTTCAAACCCAGGTTCTGGAATGATAATCCTGATCTTCAGAGGAATTTGAAAAGCTTGACATCAATAATACTTGGTCCTATCTGCAATTAGAGTCCTCCTAGATACCTGGGCTCTCCCCCAGGTGATTTTACTTTGGTGCAGAGTAGAGCATGGACATTGTGTTGTGTCTAATTGGGATTTCCTCCATTCTTGTCTGATTTTTAATGCACAGAGTTGAGACCTTTTATTTTAGATGATTACCTAGAGTTGAACCTCAAGACTGTATATACAGATTGCTGGTGTAGTCTTGATGTGGTTGCCACTAATTCTCTTGGTTCCCAGCCTAGGTCCTTATTATCTTAAAGACTAGGCCTGGCCTTGCCATTCCTTAGTGCCTACCCCACCTTCCTACTTTTGCTTACCTTATATACTCATAGCACAATACCTCTAAGACAAAGTAGGCATTTAATAAATATTTTGAATGAATTAATGAATGCCAAATACCCAAAGAGAAATGATCTAATTTTAAGTAACATTTTGAAGCCATCAATTTCAAAACCATAGTCTTGGAAATTCCCCTCCTTTTGGCTTCTGTACTAGTTTTCTATTGCATAACAAATTACCCCAAACTTAGCAGCTTGAAACTACACAAATTTATTATCTTACAATTTTGTGGCTCAGGGGTCTTCATGTGTTCTCTGGGTCCTCCGCTCGTGGTCTTACCAGACTGAAGTCACAGTGTTGTCTGGGTCCTCAATCTCCTCTGAGGCAGGAGCCCCTTTTCCAGTTCACTGGTTCTTGGCCAAATCCAGTTTCTTACAGATGTATAGGGCTGGGATGCCTGCTTTCTTGCCGACTGTCAACAGGGGGTGTTCTCAGCTCATAGAAGCTACCTGTCATCTCCTGTCACGTGATCCTCACCACAACATGGCAGTTTGCTTCTTCAAAGCCAGCAGGAGAACATTTGAAGAAATAATGTTAAAAAACTTTCCAAATTTGATGGAAAAAAACTACAACACATTAATCTACACATCTAAGCAGCTTAACAAGCTCCAAAGTAGGATTTGAAAAAAGCTCCATACTTAGTTACATCATAATCAAACTATTGAAAGTCGAGGACAAAGAGAGAAAGAATCCTGAAAACAGCAAGAGGGAAGCAGCTCAGCATATCCAAGAGATCCTCAGTATGATAAACAGCTGATTTCATTTGCATCTGCAAATCCCTTCTGCCATATAACAGTTAATGGTGTGATGTTCCATCATATTCATGAGTCCCACACACTCTAGGAGAGGGGATTGTGCAGAGCTTCTGCAGCAGGAGATGAGAATCTCGGGCCTTCTAAGTGTTTTGCCTGCCAAGGCTTTGGTCTCTCTGGATTGGCAGAAATCTTGGTCTTTCAGTGGATTGGCATAGCTCTTACTTAAATAGGGAGGTTTTTTTACCTAACTGTGCCAAATTGTGATGAAATTAAATTTAGCAGATGCATCTTCACTTTCTGAGAACCCTCTAGATTTTTTTTTCCCCCCATCTATGATGTCTGTGGCTCTAGATTGTTCGGCTTTTAGTTGTACACACCAACACTGGCTAGTAAAGCTTTGTGATTTGATTCAAATTGGTGTATTAAGGCACAGTATTCAAATATGTGTTCTTTTGCCCCATGATTACTTATCCACAAACTGTACATTAGGGCATTACAAATTAATCCTTCCTGGAGATAGATTCATTGTTACTTAAATGCTCTGTTTTGATGTACCATCCATTGTACTTTCATATAAATATAGATGCCGTTGTAAGTCATGCAACTGCTTTACCTAAGAATTTGAGATGTATTTGAACAATTGTCTAATGAATGTAGTACCTAAATAAATTAAAATATATAGAAATTGTGATGTATATGTTACTGTGCTCTAAGACCTAAAATTGTTATCATCATTTTAAAGCAGTAAAAAAAAACAAAGTGGGCCATTTTTGTCTGGATTATTTAATGCGCTGAAGATAGATACTCTTACCTGTCTCTTAAAATGTGTGTTTTGCCTCCTTTATCATTTGCAGAGTTATTAAAAGCTGTAGCAAGTGCTAGGGTAGTCTTTGTGATTTAAGAGCACTTTGTGATCACAGACCAGGTTCTCCTATTGTTGTCCTTTAATTTCTTAAAAGTAGAGCAAAGTTATATTCTAAGTATTAGAAGAGTCTGAAATCTGTGCATTAAACTTTCATATTGACCCCATCCTTGGAGAATATTAATTTTATGCAAACAGTACTTGGGGAGTGTGCAGTCCATGTAATTCATTCTCCTTATCTGTAAGGCCATATTTAGGAAAGCACTTCGGAAACATTCTAAGCTGATACAGCTCTGATTTTTTTGCTTTAACAATATTTTTAATATTTTGTTTCCATTTTATCTTAGTGTTTTGAGGTGTTTCATATTGGCGAGAGGTCTTTACAAATCTAAGATGTTTTGAAAAGGAGAGAAGAAGTGCAACAGAAACCAGAACACATGCCAGTCACCAGTGTGCTTATCAGGCTGAGACTGATTGGGATTCTTTGGGAAAGCCCCACCCAGACTTAAAGTGGTCTGCAATATTCCCAGGGAAACCATTGTTTAAGTGTGGGAGTCCTGACTAGTGTCGATCAAGCCATACAGGAGTATACTAGACCTTTCTTAATGTACTCTGCTTGTGTTGATAATATAATGTATTAACAGTAGAAAGTAGATTCTAGAATTTGACCTCCATTTGACTTCTGCCTCTGCCACTTGTTAGTGGTCTGAGCAAGTCATATAAGCTCTGAATTCTTGTTTTTTTATTCATAAAATGGGAATACTAATACTTGCTTTAGGCCTTATTGGAAGGATTAATTATAATAAAGAATATAAAAACATAACTAAATATTAATTTGCTGTTGTCGCTCCTGCTATTATTGTTTGAGGGTTATTTTGGTTTTGCTGCTGCTGCTGTTGGAACAAATGGAAAACCAAATTTTTTCCAGCATTAGGAAGATTTTTTCCATTAATCAAAGTGAATGTGTTAATGACAATAAAATTTTGAGTGATATGTTTATATTTTAGCATTCAGAATCCCAGTGTGTTTCCTTATCATAGGCGATTCTCTAACGTTTAGTGTCTAATTTGTTAGATAAAATTTAGCCCCTAAATGTTTTGAGAAATGTGGGAAATGAAGGCATGGCAAAGAAACCTAGAAGGTAGAAAGATGCTGTTGTCTGGAGCAGGAAAAGTATATAAATAGCCTTTAAAAATTAAAATTTCAGAGATTGAAAAAATTTTAAATCTCTAGTTATAGATAGGTAGCATGGCCTACTGAAAGGGTTTTACCATCAGATAAAATTTGAATCTCAGCTTAACGAAGACTGCCTCTTTCAGGCCTCATTTTGACCTCTGATCTTCCATTTCATTACTTAGAGCAGGAATACTAAAACTTGTAGGATGAATTATTACTATTATTAAGGACCTAGCAAATGGTCGAGGTCTAAAACTGGTAGTTATTGTTATTATTCTTACTATTCTTAGCTTTCAGGTTATATATATGTAGACGGTTTTTATAAAATAAGCCAGATACTTTTTCAGCTTATGTATAACCGTGGTTTAAGCACCTGCTTCTTCTCTCTGCTTAAATCGTGCCCGCTTTCCTGTTCACCAGTCCCCGCCTCAGCGTAGTCGAGTAGGTGAGGACTGCCCCACTAGGTCAGCTTCGACCTGCTCTGGGCTCGGAGAAGGAAACTTGGAAGAAAATTGTAAACAGGTAGATTTAAAATTGTGTACTAATTCGAAAAAAGATACTTCGCTGTTTGCATTTTAGATTATTAATACTGGTTACCCTTGTGAAGACACTGAGAAGATTTTGAAGAAACCTATAATTAATATAAATTTGTGTCAGCGTATGTGCGTATATGTGTGTGGCTGTGTAAATGTTCATGTTTTGGTGTGTTTTATTATTAACTTCCTTCCTAAAGAAATAGCCATGTTGAGTGCAAACCTTTAC